TTTCAGGAATATAAGTTTACTCTCTTTATGATATTTCTGACCTTGTACCTGCTAACCCTGACTGGCAATGTCATTATCGTGATAATTATCAGTATTGATCGCCATCTTCATACCCCCATGTACTTCTTTCTTTGTATGCTTTCCACTTCAGAGACGGTCTACACATTGGTCATTGTACCAAGGATGCTCTCCAGCCTTGTAGGTTCAAGCCAGTCTATGTCTTTGGCTAGCTGTGCTACCCAGATGTTCTTTTTTATCACTTTGGCCATTAACAACTGTTTTCTGCTCACAGCGATGGGATATGACCGCTATGTAGCCATCTGTAACCCCTTGAGGTACACAGTCATCATGAACAAGAAGGTATGTGCCCAGCTAGTATTGGGATCCTGCGGCATTGGGCTGCTTGTGGCCATAATTCAAATAGCATCTGTGTTCAGGGCACCTTTTTGTGATAGAGAGGTAGCTCACTATTTCTGTGACATCCGTCCTGTTATGAAACTGTCCTGCGCTGATACCACTCTACATGACATAATTAACTTTATCATCAGCTCACTGGTTATTGTGGTGCCCATGGGCTTAGTTTTCGTCTCTTACATTCTCATCATCTCCACCATCCTCAAGATTGCCTCTGCTGAGGGACGGAAGAAAGCCTTTGCCACCTGTGCCTCCCACCTCACTGTGGTCATCATCCACTATGGTTGTGCCTCTATTGCCTACCTGAAGCCCAAATCAGAGAACACCAGGGATCAGGACCAGCTGATCTCAGTAACTTATACTGTGTTTACTCCTCTCCTTAACCCTGTGGTATATACGTTGAGAAACAAAGAAGTCAAGGATGCCATTTATCGTGCTATTGGGAAAAAAGCTCTTGTCTAGGATATTCAGCAGTTTGGCATACAGTGGATTCCTTTTATCTGTCTGTATTTTCAATTAATCATGGTGAATTCTGGTCTGAAAATATAAATGGAATACTCCTAATACAAACAATTCCTCAGTTTAAATTATCTACCATTTTAACTAACAAAATTGAATCTAGCACAGCTCTGACCCATTCTACTTGGAACATGGATCATCTCTTTGTGCAGTTCTATATGCTATCTACTGATACGGTGTAGTATCAGTATCTTGAAAACAAATCATAGACAACTGTCACTTAACTTTTCATTGCAATATATTGGTATAGTTTTTCTGTTGCCATTACAATTTTTGTCTTTTTATGTGTGTATGTATGTGTATACTATTCGTGTGTGTGTATGCATGTTTGAATGTATGTGGGCATATGTGGGGTGTGTTCATACATGTGTATATGTACTTGGGGAGTTCTAATATCAATACTGGGAATCTCCCTTGATGACTCTTCTACCTTATTCTTTAAGGTGGGGTTTCTCAACCAAGCCCAACAATTATAGACACAGCTAGTCTCTTTAGCCAGATTTGCTCTGAGAATTCCCCATGTCCACCACCTAAATACAAAATTACAGGTGGGCTGCCCTCTCCCACCTGGCATTTACACAGGTTCTGGGGATCAGAACTCCAGTCCTCACACTTTTGTGGTAAGTGATTTATCCACTGAGACATGTCCACATCATTAGCTATTGTGCTAATCTCTTAGTGTACATTTTAATTTATAAAGTAAACTTTATCGTAAACATGTATAAGTAAGAGAAACAGTATATATAAGGTTGACTGCTTATATGCCTCAAATTTAGCCATCCATGGGAGGTCTTGAAACGTATCTCTCATGGATATACTGTATAGTCACAGTATAGGGTTTTGTTTCCTTTTTCTATTGAGAAATATTTTTTCATAATACGTAATCTGATCACATTTTTCCCCTCTCACAACTCTTCCCAACTCATCCTTGCTTCCTCACCCACCCAACACCTCTCTCTCCCCCCAACAAACACACAAAAATAAAACAAATAAAAAACAAGAAACATGCACACACACACACACACACACAAACACAAACACACACAGCCTCCACAAAACCAGAAGAACAGGAATCAAAATATACAAGTAAAAGGTCTGGGTATTTTTGAAAGCTCAAAAACAATTGTTTCCTGTCATTCTACCTATACTCAGAAGAAACTGCAAAATTTGGTGATGAGGTTACATTAAAGAATGACTTGAATTACTAAAGGCTGATCCTTGTTTTTATTTTATATTTATTTTCTTTTAATTAAAACTTAAATTCTTTTTGTGGTGTGAGAGATTGAACCCTGTGTCTTGCACATGTGGGGCAAATACTCTATCACTCATCTCCATTCCCACCTTCTTGCTTTTATCATTATTCTGCTACAGCTTTTATGGTCTCCCAGGCTGCCACCAGAGTAATGACCAGATAGAGCTCACAAACTGGGAAATGGGTAGGAATCATAATCAAGGGTGGAGTTCATTATTATCAGTTCATGGCACAAAAGTGGGTTGTGTGGTGCCTGTATGAACACTGTGTTGAAAACTTGCCATAAACACCAGGCAGATGTTGAGTCCTAAAGCTTCAGAGAAGACATGGCTGATGGCCAGGTGTGCTAGAAGCCGTCAGTGCTCCCTCTTGTACTTAGACCACTCTCTTCTTTGGGCAGTGATGAATGTTACAGACTCTGACTGTCCCACAGAAATGCCGTCATAGATAAATATTCTCACTGGCCTTGGAGATCTGTACAATTTTTCTCCAAATTTTTGAAACTCACATTAAAACCAGTCGCTCAGTGAGTCTGGATCACCAGTATGTTCAACGTTACTAAGCAACTTATCCATATTCAATTCGGAACTTGATCACACTTTCTGTGGAGTAACACAGGGATGTCTGAAGAAAGATTTTTTTTAATTAAATACATTAATTCCATACCTTCACTAAGTCTCGATGATGCCAGAATGGAAATTGGCCCATGATTTTCATTCTTGTCTGTGGAAAATATGACCTGATAGTCAAGCTTTGTCTTTACCCTCTTCTTTGCTACACTGATAGTCTTATTCTCTGTGAGTTGTTGAGTATTTATGTTAAGCCATGGGTTCTCAACCTGTGGGTTGTGACCCCTGTGAGGTCAAAGGACCCTTTCACAGGGGTTGCATATCAGATATCTTCCATATAAGATATTTACATTACAGTTTATAACAGTAGCAAATCAGAATTATGAAGAAGCAACAAAAAATAATTTTATAGTTGTGGGTCACCACAACATGAGGGACTGTATTAAAAGGTCACAGCATTAGGAAAATTGAGAACTTCCATTTTAAAGACTTTTCTATACAAGAATTTGGGGTTTCCCCAAGCCCTCTGTCCTCTGCTGTGTTGCTCAGTAAAGGGGAAGGTTACTTTCATGTGTAAGGAAGATTTAAGAGTTAGAACTATTTAACCTGGTGGACACTGGATATGTTAAATATTTTGTGATCCATACAAAACTAAAGAAAAATTCTGCGTCATTTTTCAAGAATCCTATTAAAAATGCATGGAAAACAAACTTCAAGTCCAGGGCCTCTGTGTCTCTAGTGGTAATATGAGAGCCAAAGTTAGGTTTTAAGTTTTAGTTTTACTATGTCTAAGTGATCCATGAGACAAAACTACTTGTAATGTGTAAGTCCCTTGCAGAAGGTCAATTATTTCCTAAAATACTGGAGGCTATTGTTTATGGGAGATAACAAGCCACATGCTTTTGTTTCCCTAAACAATTTGGCTTGACTCAATGGTTAGTATTCAGGCATCTGTTCTGGCCTGTCCTTGGGGTTCAGACAGGGTATGCCCTCAGCTGCAGCCACTAAGAGCACCACCTGTGCACATTCACTGTCTCCTTTTAAAAAGGCCCTGCCCACCTCTCATCCCCCTCTCTCCCTCCCCCTCTCTCCTTTCTGTTCTCTCCCTTCCTCCCACTCTCCCCCATCCCTCTCTCTGTGTCCCTCTTTTCTCTCTTCTCTCTCCTGCTGCTCCTGTCTCTGGAGGCCGGTCTCTTTCTGCCCTCCCATTTCCCATTTTATGATCCCTTTACCCATACCCCCCCCCCCCCCAAAAGAAAACCTCTGCTTGAACCCTGTCCAATGGCACCTTTCTTTCACGTGCTGCTTTTCTTAAATCGAAACATGAACTACACAGGAAGTGCTTGATCACATATGGGTAGGAAGTATGTAGGCAAGAAATGCATCAGGATGTGTGCTTGCCCCTGAATGGATGTAGGCAAGAGGTACAAGGGCAGGAAGTATGTTGGGATATATGCTTGTCCAAGATTGGACCTGATGGGAAGTATAGTGGCCTTGTAGGTTTGTCTGCATAGGCCTCTGCAAAATGTTACTCATTGCCATTCTCTGAGAACCCCAGAATGGCCCTGGCCAAAGCCCGTCAATCATCCTGGCTAGTGTTTAATTAAAGCTTGCTTCACATTTCCCTCAAAAAAAATGTGGATCTGGTCTTTCTCTCATGATTCACGGGTTTAACAGTAAGAGGGCCAAGAAGGGACATTTGTGCTTGTTCTAGAATAGCTACTTCCCAGGGAGCTGAGAGATCCTGTGAAGAGGGACCTCCAGCACAGTTGAGTTTTGTCTTTTGGGAGATACTTTTACAGACATCTTTAATTTTTTCTAGATATGTGAATGGTCATTTTCTCAACCTAGCTCATGAGAAGCCCCCTTTTGAAACTCTTTGGAGATCTGATTCCTTCAGGCAGGTCTGTTCCTGAAGGCATATCCCAGTAGCCACATTGTGTTCACAGGTCTTGAGTACACAGAACTACCATAGGACATCCCTTACTTCAAACAGGATTCTACAAGATGGGTGCCTAATTCTGAGAGCAGTGTGTCCCCCTAGCTCCTATGGTTTGATGCTGCAGACAACTGTGGTACAATTCGCCCCAACTTTTGCAACAGTAAATAATATATAGCAAAGACTCATATTTGTTTGCTTTTTAATGCAATCCATTCTACTATTTTAACAGAAACAAAAAACAGATTTAATTTCAGAAAGTACGTGATTATTACTAAGCACAAATTATGACTGACAAGAAAGAAGTTTAAGCCCACAGTTTGGGTTTAGTGACCACATAGCCATTGTCTTCAAAATTGAGAGCTTGCCAATTTATAAGGTTGCCATTGTAACACCCGCCATCCATTTCTTTTAGGGGGACCACATGGTCCCACAAGGACACCTCCCATATGTCTCCAACAAAGGATTGTTTTGCATCAAAAGCTCCCCCAAAGGAATCCTGCTCTTGTCCTATGATAATCTTTGCCTCAGCACCAACACTGTACCCCTTCTTCAAGCCTTTCCTCCCCATAGGCTTTCCATCCAGCCAGAGTTCTACAATTCCAGAGGCAGACTCCCAGCTCACACAGACATGTTGTGGGGCATAAGGATTGGGGGGCACTTTGAAAATGACTTCTGAATTTCCAACAGCGATGTCATACTCTCCCAATTTTGTCACAAAGAGAAGAATCTCATTGTGCTTGGTCTTTGTGCTGTAGGAGAAGAGGCTGTAAGGTCTGGTGAGGTCAGTGAAGGCCTTCAGACACAGGGTGAAATTCTGCAGTGACTTCCTCATCTTTGGGATCAGGGTCACATAGGCAGTGGCTGATTCTTGAGGGAAAACAAACGCCTTCCCCGTCATGTCTGTAAAGAAAAGACAGTAAGACAAACATTTTCCTAGATCTGTGGTTTGGTTCCTGGAAGAATATATATAGCACATTGGTGCACACAGAGATCCTGCAAGGGTGTAAGCTCAACAATGCTAAGCAGCTATACAGTGTTAATGGCAGCCCTGAAAGGGGTGGCCTATGACTGCAGTCTCACTGGTTGAGAGGTGGAGGCCATCTACTCTATATAGTGAGTTTGAGGCCAAACCCAAGCTACTTGAGACTGTCTCAAACCAAACAATAAAAGATGAATTTGGATTCAGGTGATCAGTTACAGATTTAAGATTTCCTATATCAACGCTACCTGCATCTTCCTTGAGACAGCACTGAGATAAAAGAAGTACCAGTGACAGAAAATGAAATGTAACTTAATCATTGCAATGAATAAAGCAGGAGGCACAGTGTGTCTTCCCATCACTGATATTTCTCCTAGAGAATCCCTGTAGCTGGGGTTACATACATTCTGGATCTTGTGATGAGCCAACATTTGGGGTCAGTATGATAACTGAGGAACAGCATCATGTAAATTGCTTGGTCCAGACCTTGATAGGACTGTACCCTCATCTTCTCTATGCTCAGTAAGGACCAATTTACCACAGCAGCAACAGTATTAAAGGATTATTTACTATGGATTTATTTTGTCTTAAGAGCCTTGTGAAAAGATGAAACTGTAATCATTATGGAATGATTCTTTCCTTGTTCAGAAAAAGTAAATTTAACAAATAGTTGGGAAAATAAACTCCAGAATAATGGCTAACTGAATCAGAGGAGACATGACCTAGAAATAATATAAAGTCTTGAACTGAGTTAGTTTTGCTTCATAGTAGGAAATGGGAAAACAGCACGAATTATATTTCCTAACATACAAGGGCTTCTTAAGAAATGCTTATATTCTGGACCCCTAGAGAGTAGGAATGGAATGCTTCCAGAAAAGAGGACTAGCTAGAGTGTGTCATACACATACACACACACAAACACACACAGAGAGAGAGAGAGAGAGAGAGAGAGAGAGAGGGAGAGAAACTAAACTTCTGTCAATGCAACAGCAACCAGAGGACTGGAGTGTAAACCATATATTTATGTTCTATGATCAATTATCTCCCTGTTTGTAACCTTCTCAGTGTAGAAACTTGGAGCAAAATATCACGGTTAGCCTGAAATAACGTATAACTCACTGCTGACATTCACACTGAGGTATAGGGAAATGAGTGTCAGGTTTTCTTACTGGCAGAAACAGGAAAGAAAATACAAAGCTGTCAAAACAGTAAAGTGTCTTCTTTGGTAATAAAAAGCTAGTTTTATAACATGCATTACAAAATTCATCCTTCCCCTAATTTATCTCAGCACTATTTATCAGGATTGGTGTTATTATGTCACCATTGTATTGGTGAAGAATTGAGGCTCACAGTCCTGCCACCTAACAAGGGTTGCTCAATTATTCAATTACTGGGGAGAGATGGTTTTCTTTTAAAAGTCCAAACTACTTCCACTATCTCTTATAATATCTCAACTAAGGGCTTAAAAATGATGAGCACAAGCATTCCCTTTACCAACTTGTCTGTTTCTAGAAAAAAAAAATCATGTCCTCCTTCTTGTTCTCTTAGATGAGAAGTCACTGTGCTCTCATCAAGGAAGCAAACCCCATTCTACTTTCCTCATTCTCCTTACATCCTGGTATAGTAAGATAGATCCTTAGTCATCAATTTCTGTGGTAGTTTTAAAAAAATGTGACCTAAATTAATTCTCTTCTTTTTAGGTATGCACCGATTTACTGGTAAGGGGTAGAACACAGTTGAAGGATTTCTAAGATTTGATTACAGAATGTCTGTGGCTTCTGAACTGGATACTTCTTTCAGTCACATGTTGTAGTCTGTTTTGTAGAAAGGGCCTCAATGATAGGATATTAAGAAAGGTCTGCAGTCAATAGACAATAAGGAAGTCAGGCCCCCAGCCAACTTCCTGAAATGAGCAGAAATTGATTAGCCTTAAGAGAAGTTTGGGAGCAGACCTTCTGAGTGTGCCTTCAGATAACACTACAACCTTGGTTGAAATACTGCAATCCCATAGAGACCTGTGCTTGGAAACAATAGCTAGAACCATTCTCTCATTTCTCTTGTACAAAAGACATGAGATAGTAAGCATTCACAGTTTCCAACTGCCAAGATTAGGTAGTATAACAGATAGAGTAAATGACTTCCACACACCTTTCACTCACATCTTCCTAAAAACAACAACAGCAAAAGTTGTTGGACCCTATCTGTTCCAGACATGGAGAACTTTTTAGCTGGCATCAGTACCTACCTTCTTGGAATGAACATCCTAAAAGAACAGAGAGGAGCAGGGCACCCACAATAAGCTTTGTCATCGTGCTCTTCTTAGACTCCTCTGGTAGTGGGAGTACAGCAACAATTGTCTCTGTGGAGAGAGATTTGCTGTTTGGCTCTTATATTGCACTCCTAGGGACAACACCTTTGTTTAAATAACAGAAAGACAAAGTTATAAAAGTTAATATTAACTGACCCATTATGTGGATTTAAAACCAATGTGTTAATAGCCTCAAATAATATAAAACGTCTTGGGAAAACTCTAACCAAGGAAATGAAAGAGTTGTATGATAAAATATTTAAGGTGTTGAAAAAAGAGTTGAAGATATCAGAAGATGGAAAGACATCACATGCTCATGAATCAGTAAAATTAATAAAATAAAAAATGGCCATCCTATCAAAAGCAATCTACAGATTCAATGCAATTCCCATCAAAATCCCAACACAATCCTTCACATAATCTGAAAGGACAATTTTCAGCTTCATATGAAAACACAGAACACCCAGGATAGCTAAAACACTCTTGAATAATAAAAGAACTTCTGGAGATATTATCATCTCCAATCTAAAATTGTATCGAGCTATAGTAATAAAAAACAAGCATGGTATTGGCACATAAACTGGCATATTGATCAAGGGAATGGATTTGAAAACCCAGACATAAGTCAACACACCAATATTTTATAAAGAAGCTAGCAATACATACTAGAAAAAGACAGCTGGTAAACTGGAAACTATATGAAGAAGAATGCAAATATATACATACATATCACTATGAACAAAACACAACTCCAAATGGATCAAAGGCCTCAACATAAAGCCAGATACATTGAACCTGATAGAAGAGAAAGTGCAGAGTAGCTTTGAACTCATTGGCATAGTATAAAATTTTCTGAACAGAACACTGTTAGCTCAGGCACTAAGATCAACAAATAATAAATGGGACCTCATGAAACTGAAAAGATTCAGCACTACAGAAGGCACTGTCATTTGAACAAAGTGGCAGTCTACAGAATGGGAAAGTTTTTACCAACTCCAAATCCAATAGAGGGTTAATATTCAAAATATATAAGAACTCAAGAAACTTGATATCAAAATCCAAGTAACCCAACAAAAAATGGGTTACAGATCTAAACAGGTAATTCTCAAAAATGAAACACAAAAGACTTGGAAACAAAGAAATATTCAACATCCTTTGCCATCATGGAAATTCAAATCAAAACTACACCTTTAGGAATGACTAAGACCAGTAAAACAAGTGAAATTCCAAGTTGGTGAAAACTATGGGAAACACTCATCTACTATTGGTGGGGGTGAAAACTTCTACAACCACTTTGGAAATCAGTGTGTCTGTAGCATCAGGAAGATGAGAATCTATCTACCTTAATATCCAGCTATACCACCCTTGGCCATATACCCAAGGGATACTTCATCATACTACAAAGACACTCGCTCCATAATCTTCATTGTTTCTCCTTTCATAACAGTCAGATAATTGGAAACATTTGAAGATAAATTTATGGAACTAGAAAAATATCATCCTGTGTGAGGTAAGGCAGACCCCAAAAGACAAATATAGCATGTTTTCACTTATATGTAGATGTTAGTTGTTAAGTAAATAATTGCCACGCTACAATCCATAGGACCACAGAGGTTAGATATACAGTAAGAAATTAGGGAGAACAGATATATCCCATTAGGAAAGGGAAAAGAATAGATAGTTATGGGTGGATTCTGTGGAGTGGGGGCTGGAACAGGGGGATCAAGTTGAAAGGAGTAGGGGAAAGAAGGATGAAGGAGAGAATATGAAAAGAGAAGGCTAAAATTAAGTTCCACCTGAGGAGTAGTATAGAAACTTAGTACCTTAGAAGCTTCTCCAAAATATATGCATATATGAAGGCAATCTAAATGAAATAGCCAAATAATGGGAGACACAAAGTTCCAATTGGCCATCTCTTGTCACCAAATGAAGTTTCCAGTGCTAGGATTGGGTTATACCTAATAAGCTGTTGGACAAATGGGTCCCATGGAAATTCCCATATGACTTAGGCTGTAGGCAAGACCATAGGTTGCTCTCCAGAAACTGATAGCAAGACTCCATTGCAGAAGGCAACACCTGCACAACTCATTGAACATGGAGAAGCCGAGCTGGGGCCTACATAGAGCCTTCATCCCTATATGCTAGCATCTTTGGTATAGGAAATTAGTTTGCACACTACCAAAGGAGAAAAGCAGACACCAACCAAGCCACAAAATCTTTGATCTGCAATGGTGTCCTGTCTGTAATGCATGCTAGTGCAATGGTGGCACAAAGTGTGAGAGAGTAATCAAACAATAACTGATTTGACTGATTTGACTCCAGGAGATGGGAACCCATACCCAACACTGCTTGGGTGACCAAGAACTTGAGACTAGATACTGGTCTTCTTAAAAGGTAGCAATAAATGAATCCTGCTGTACTTATAGATCAATGCCTTGCTCAGCCATCATTAGAGAAGCTTCCTCCTGCAGCAGATGAGAACAAATACAGAGACCCGGAGCTAGATATGCAGAGAGTGAGAGGCTTTGGAACACTCTTCCCTGAAATGAGATGGATTCCTCAAATCCCTTCCATCAGGGCTCAGGGAACCCTTCAGAAGATGAGGAGGAAAGAGAATAAGACACAGAGAGGATGGAGGACACCAAGAAAACCAGGCCCTCTAAACCAGCATGAGCAAAGTTCATATGAATTCATAAGAGACTAAGTCAACATGCCCAGGACCTACACAGGTCTGCACCAGGTCCTTTGAGTACATATTTTGGCTTCCAGTGTAGTGTTGCTATGGGGTTCCTGGGTGTGTGAATGAGTGGGTCTCTGATTCTTGGGCCTTCTCTTGGGCTCTTTTCCTTCTGTTTGTTTATTTGTTCAATTCCAATCTGTTTGTTTTTGTTCTATCTTATTACATTACTAAAATTAAAAAATAATAAAACCTATGTGTTTATATTTGGAGTCTCTGATTTCTATATTGGATCTTTCTATTATAATAGATCTATTTTCTTTTGAGCTGTTCTGGTCATGGGCCCTCTGGTCCTAGGTAAGAGACACTATGTCCTCCTGAAGGGATATGTTTCATCTTTTGTGTTAAGGAAATTGTGATAGTCTGTTCTGCAGCAGATCTTGAGTGTCTCCCAAAGGTGCATGTTTGGACTGCTGGGAAGGTTTAGATGACTGGGGCAAGGAGACTGTGATGGTAGTGTCTTTCCCTCTCTTTGCTTTCCAGCTTCCATGAGATTATCAGCTTGCTTCCCCAGTTCTTCCCTCAAAAGTTTGCTGCCTCATCATGGGTCCCAAAGCAATGTGGCCTGCTGACCACAGACTGAAACCTGTGAAACCATGAGATGAAACACACCTTTCCTCTGTTTAAGTTGAACAGATCAGGGATTTTGCTGATGGAAAGCTGACTGACAGCTTGATGTCTGGACTATAAGATAAACATATTTTTTCATCTTATAATATTTATATCTATAAATATCCCTATATATAGTTTAAGATCTGGGGTCTGACTGCAGCGGGGCCTTTACTGATTCAGATGATAGAGTTACACAGAGTTGTAGCAGGAAGACTCTGTGGTTTGTAACAGAGTGAAAAATCAGCTCTTATTTACAGTTGCCACATTCTCTTTAAAGGAGCACTGTGATGCTGGGTGTTTCGCGTCAGGCCACCATAGTAGTAACTTAGGAGCTCAAGTGAGATATCTATGAAGTTGGGTAGCCTGAGCTTTTTTTTAAATCTTTTTTTTTTTTGCTTTATTTTACATACTAACCACAGTCTCCCCCTCCCTCCTCTTCTCCTGCTTCCTTCCCTCTATGCTTGGCACATCAAGTTAAGGCAGGATCAAGCTCCTCACCCCTGCATCAACGCTGAACAAGGCACCCTACCATAGGGAAAAGGTTCCAAAGAGCTGGCTAGCTCAGAATGAGGAACAGGTCCTGACCCCACCTCTAGGGGCTCCACAAAAGATGAAGCTACCCAACTGTCACCTAGATGCAGAGAGCCTAGGTTAGTCCCACGCTGGGTCCCTAGTTGTCTGTCCAAAGTCTGTGAGCTCCCACAAGCTCAGATCAACTGTCTCTATGGGTCTCCCCATCACAATCTTGCCCCCTACGCCTTGTTAAGAGGGCATGAAATAATGTTAAATTCAGGGAATGGTTCAGCTATGCTATGATAGAAATCTGTGATTTATAAACACATTGAATATTTCATTGAAATGTGTTTTACTTGTTTACAATAAAACCATTGAACGTTATATTATTTGGTTGCTCCTATGTTGCTTAACACATAGTTTAAGTCTTTAAAGCCAAGAACCTATGGGTCTGGTATGTTTTTTTCCTCTAGTTCGATCTCTTGATCCTATCACTGTGATTGAACTTTTAAGAACTCTTAAAATTTTTTGTGTGAAATGAATGCCTGTGGCATTTCCCTGTGAATGAGAAGAACTAAAGGAAACTGTATGTATTGCAGCTTTGTGCTAACAAAAGCCACTATGATTATGGTGGTCTGTTTTCACTTAATTATGAGTGCAATGAACCACATTGAAACTTGGTTTTAAAAACAACATGTGTTTATTTATCCGCAAGGCTGTGGGATGGTGATTTGAACCCTAATTCTTTTGTGCTCAGTGGAGTGATTAGTGAACAAACGGGTTGGTACACTAATAGCCCATGAGTCAGAAATGGAGTAGCTTGGATTTCAGCACATATGATCCTGGTCTTGTTTGTGCAATTTCAGATTAACCTGAATCAATCTTGCTTTCTCTGTCTCTTTTAATTCTAAAGCTACATCCATACTGGCAAATTGAAAGAACACCCAATTTTAGAAATAATTTTACAGCATGTTTTTGCACAGTACAAAATAAATAAGTTATTATGTTACTCTATCTAGATACATTATAATTAAAGGTTAAATTACAAGCTAGTTTTATTGTTCTGTAATAGCATTCCATAAAACATATTTAAAAAGATAAATTTGAGTTATTCACATTAAATAAATGTTTCATATTAT